GATAGCACGGAGCGGATCACATGTGCGAGTCGGTGCAAACCACAAAATGTATCGGAGCTATTTGAATTCTACACAGAATGCTATATTTTTTAGCAATATGGATGAGATTGTGGCTGGCATACCCTGTCAAATGCGGCTTTACGGAGCTCAACGGCTCTGAACGGCTCTAGCCCAAGCTGTGATATAAACGAACGCTATTGGGTATTTTAAAAAGGGGCGGGGCTGATTGATATGTCCCGCCCTGTCTTCCTGTTTCAGTTAAAATGATGTCAACACATAGAGTAACGCTGCATGTTTCTAAGCATTTCAGGGGATCTTTAAATCTCCACTGCTCCCTCTCATCCTCCAATCAGTGTAAACGGCCAATCATTGGTGACAGGTGGCGGCCATTACGAGAGAGAGAGAGAGAGAACAACAACAACAACAAAAAACAAATACGTCCTGGGATGTAACAGATGGTCACATTGGTCTCCAATAAGCTCCTGGACAGTCCCTGTTCTTGAACTCACTAGTTTGTCTGGTCAGTAGCTTGTTATTGTCTCAGACTGGGCAGGAATGTAGCTTTACCAGTTCTGCTTCTGTGAACTGACCTCATGCATCTTATGCAATCCAGCTGAGACACTTGTCTTTAAATGTTTAGCTATGAGAAGGAGGATATAGTTTTGTGGGTATGAAGATGAAAAGGTTTGGGGTAAACATTCTTCTGCTGAGAAATTAACCTCAAGGAAGAGACATGATTATACTGCAGCCTAATCATGAAGTTTTGTCATAATACTCTAGCTTCTACCCATTTTGTAGTCTTCTATACATCAAAATAGAGAGAAATAAAGTGTTTGTACAACAAGGTGAACAAAATTAACAATGTAATATCAATTAACAATGTAATATCAAGGACTGTTGATTAGGTAGAGTAGTATCAAATATCTCCAATGCCTTTACTATTTGGATTGTTTTAAAAAGATTTCTTACAATTCCAGACATTTATTTAGTTGGATACTGCTCACTGAGAGATGAAGGATGTAGAAATGTATTCTGTTCTTCAGAACCACTGATTAAAAGTTCTACCAGAAAGACTTGGGAGGCAAGATGACATAGTATTTATTTAACAACAGACCAGCAAATGAAAGCAAAATATAAATGTGATAAAGTTATTTGGCATAGGCCCCATCCGTAGCTTGCATCCAGAGGGTTGCTAACTCTTGCACTTCCTGCCTGAAGATGAAGGCAGGGGCGCAGCCGACCCCCAGGGAAGTATGGACAGGGACCATCCTGGTGGTGGTGGGGAGGATTGGGGTGAATGTTGGCGTCATCATCTGCGAACTCAAACATGTGTAAGTACCGATCTTACATACTCCAAATGTTAGATGATGATTGGTTTGATCTAAGCGTAATGGGTGACGTAACATTTTCCGCTTTCATTTCAAATACATTTAGATCTGGTGATTGAGGAGACAATAGAAGGAACTGGACTTCATCCTAGCATTCATGAAACTACTGTTGAAATTGTTTAGCAATATAACATTAGGTGAAAATGGCTTATTGTGCTTTTGAAGTATTTTCCAAATAGCACCCTAATCAACTTTCCCCTTGAATTTCCTCTTGAAGATTTTATAGAATTTCATAGTAATAATGACTATGGTCACTTAATCACTAAAACTGCTAAATCGTTCTCTTTTTTTCCTAATTTCTAATCTTTTATAACTTAATATCATTAGGTATTTTTATAAATCTGAAAAATTAACAACACGTAGACTAACAAATTCTCAGAAAGATGCTCAGTAACTCATTCAGTAAAATTAAATATCAATGGAGCTCACAAAAGTGCAGCTATATCAGAAGCAATGTGACAGCAGTCAGAATTATTCAGTACTCCGTATTCAATTATTCTCCGTAAGAAAACGTCTCAGGTTATGCATGTAACCATTAGTTCCCTGATATTAATGTCAAGCCCCTTAACTCACTTTACAGGTGGTCTCTGCTCTCCGATTGTAGTTACAATGACATTTAAACACATTATGCACTCATAAACAATTGCTTATCAAGTTATGTGCTGGCAGTGGTTTTGGTAAGGCTATAGTCTCAGAACAGTCAGCCTTCCCGGTCGTGTATCGCCATGTTTAAAATTCTCATGCTTAAAGTTGTGATGAGATCTTATCGGAAGATAAAACCCTCAGGCTTAATGTACATTAAAAGAGGAAACATACTTAGGGTCAAGACTGTCATAGAGACTTTATGGTTGGGCTTTTTTGATTTAGTGCAGATATCTGCCACTCTTTAAGTCAGGGCTCTTCAACTAGCTTCATTTGAGGGCCGGATTATCGAACTGAAAATTTGAAGGGGGTGGGGGGCCATCCCGATCTCTTTCAGGGGAGCCTATGAAATTAGAAATTAAATTGAAATGCATATTCAGCAGTAAAATGAACTAATATCGCCAACAGTAACATCTATAAAAGGTTAACAATAGTGCTGTCAATCGATTATAAAAAAATTAACTAATTAAATCACACATTTTTCTGTAATTAATCATGATTAATCACATATTAATATAATATATTTATATTGTTATAATTTCACATTGAACCTCCAAATTAACGTAGAAACAACATAAAGATGGTATATTTTAAATGTGTTTAATGGCATCTTTTTACTAAGTCGCCTGTTATTAATGAAGACCAGTATCTCTGTGATGGAGGTGATGAGACGAGAGGCATGCGGATCCATATGCAAGGCTTTATTAAGAGACGTGGTCATAACAGACATGGGGAAAAAAACTCTATCAACAAACAGTCCGGTAAATCAGAGTAATAGGCAATGGCTAGATACTCTTGAATATAGTTCTCCAGTGAACCCGGGCCTTGTTTAAGAGTTAATAATATATGTGCTGTGTCCATACCTGGTTAGTGCAATGGAGCATGGGAAATGTAGTCCAGGGTGATGTGTAACAGTCTGTGTGGTGTGAGAGTCAATATAATGGGAGGGCGACCTCTGGTGGCAAGCAGACGGAAGTTCATGGACAGGATTCGTGACAATCACTGATAGGCCTACCAATAATGCTACTGATGTCTCTATTAACTTTTAATTTAAATGAACTTAAAACAATCTTCACATAAACTATAGATCAATTTTTATTCAAGCTACAAAAGTTAATAAGCGAGCCACTCTTTGGCCCTATGCAACCGCTTATATCGCTTATTAGGTAGGGCCGGCACTGCGTAGGCTACAGCAAACATACAGCAAATACAGAGACTTTCAAACTATATTCCATATATGATAATCATCCTCATCCAGTGTCTGCGCGATTTCTCGCCAGAAGTTATAACCGATACACTGTCTTTATACTCGTTTAAACTAGAGTTGTGGATATCTCATAACCCCCTCACACAAGCCCTTGTCAATGCTGACGTCTGTTGATGTTGCGGTCTCCGGTAGATTGTTGTTGGTCCGTCTTTTCCTTTTCTTTTTCGGCTGAGAAACAACGGTCCGGGACAGCGATGCCACCTTGTAAACAAACGAATTAGTGCAAAAACAATTCAAGGCAAATTGTGTGCGACCAGCGCGTACTCTTCCCTCGGGCCGGATGAAGATGATTGAATAGCCGCCAATTGAATAGCCCTGCAAAACAGCATGTAACTACTATTATTGCGATGACGCGATGTACGCGATGGCACCGCAGACGGCAGCCTCAGTGTTTGGCTCTCCAGTGTTTGTACTGTTTTTGTTAGTTTTTCCTGTTTTTTGCTTCTCAAGAATACCAGGACAGCCAGGCACAAGAACAGTTTCTTTCCCCAGGCAATCTACCTCATGAACAGTTAATGTTCTCCCATTGTGCAATTAAAGTATGTGCAATAACCTTATACTTATTTATCACCCTAAATCCTAGTACATCCCTACAACTTTATTTTATTTTATTCTATTCTATCTATAGCACACCTGTACATACAATTTATTCTTTTTTTGTGGTTTATATTTATGCATGTGTATTTTATTCACATCTTATTTTTATTATCTGTGTGTTGTTGTTGTCTCCGTGTACTGGAAGCTTGTGACACTATAACAAATTCCTTGTATGTGCAAACATACTTGGCAATAAAGCTCTTTCTGATTCTGATTCTGATTCTGATTGCAAAAAAAAATACTCATATTTTTGCATAGTGTAAATAGAATCTATCGCTATTATCACTTAGTGTAAATAGAATCCATTGCTATTTGCACTTAGTGTAAATAGCATCTATCACTAAGAAAATATGCAATTTTCACTCAGTGTAAATAGCATCTAATTGCTATTTACACTTAGCCGCTGCCATTTTTTTTTTACAGCTGATTAACAATAAAACACTGACAGCCAATCAGACTTCATTCAAATTTAAAGGTCTTGTGCATTTAAAAATAGCTATATTCAATGTTTAGATATGCTCGAAACGTAGCATGCTGAAGACATCTACTGGTTCAATTTGTGTAAATGCAACAAGAACAGCAAAATCTGAAACTGTCTTTTACGGAAGTATGAATAAAAGTTCTCTTCAAAAAAACTCTCGATAACTCTCCAAGCAGAGTGACGGAGATCTCCCAACTGCTCTCATGTATCCCAAAGCATCTGTTTTTCCTTTGGTGTCTTTGTGAAATGTAAGCAGCAGCAGGTCACCTATATCCACATTCATTACTTTGAAACTACAGTGCGCAAGCTAAGAATAAACAGACAGTTATGGTTCGATGGTGTGGATGCAAATATAGTTATCATTGTAGCTACTGTTATATTTATACTTATCGTTATCACTCTTGGTGTGAACAGGACTTTAGTCAGGTTAGACACCATGTTAAACTTAACACGGCTAAAAACGAGGGGTACAGACTTACAGTATTTACAATGCCACACACGGTAAGGTCCTACATCAAATTTACCATGTAATTTTCACAAACTTTAAAACTGCAGTACAACAGTACAATCCATTAAACACTGTAATTCTAGCCCTCACAACATGTTTTTATTCCTGTCAAAAAAATAAATATGGCTTTAATTGGGACAGGATCTATTGTTTTGTGGCCTTTATACAGCATATTTTGAAGGATAGATCAAGTTTATCCTTCACGTCTTCACAATTAAACAATCCTGTGAACATTGTCACAATCTCAGTCACCATGCCTATCACCTTCTGCACTACATCTCCCAGAATCCTTCCTGGTCCACAACTTGCACACATTCCACAATCATCACCAGTTGTCATTAATCACTCTCATCACCCCTGGGCCCTGCACCAGATATAAGGACACTCCATACACTAGTGATGCAAAGTCTGATTCTTTTCCGTGAACTGGTTCTTTTTGGAAAGTTCGGCTCATTGAACTGGTTCAAAAAGGCGATTCACCGGTTCCTGGCGTCATCAAGCAATGATGTCACTACGCATTTCTTTTCTAACAACTCAGTGCCATGTTGTAT